TTTTTCTTTTTGTTTTTTTTTTTTTTTTTTTTTTTTTTTTTTTTTTTTGTCAACTTGATACAAAGTTGTGTCATCTGGGAAGAAGCAATCTTTTTTTATTTTATTTTTAAAAAGATTTATTTATTTATGTATTTTATATAGATGAGTGCTTTACTTTCATGTTCTGTTACCTGGATCTAGGCCATTGTTAAGAAAATGCTGTACTATTGAGATGCATGCCTAGTCACTGGATTTTATATGTATGTGTGTGCATTCTGTACATGTTCGTGTGTGTACGTGTAGGTGTGTGTGCATATGCCTGAGGACAGCCTTGGATGGTGTTCTTGAGATCTCAAACACCTTTTGTTTTTGAGACAGACTCTCACTGGCCTGTTATCCACCAGGTATTCATGGATTTTTGCCTCCCAGTACTGGGATTACAAACATACACTGTCATGCCAACCATGCTTGGCTTTTCAAATGTCAGTTCTGGGGATTGAACTCAGGTGCTCATGCTTGCATGGCAAGTTCTTTATTTACTATGATAACTCCCCAACAACAGTGGGTTTTTGATACTGGATCACAATGTGTAGCTGAGATTGCTATGTAGCTCAGGCCATTCTCAAATGCAAAACCTTCATGTGTCAGCCTCCTGACAGCTGGGATGAAAGGCCGGCACCAGCCTCCATGGCTAATTTGATGTAGCTCATCTTAAAAACAGCATAATGCCACTGCAGAATCCATTTTTAAAAAATGCTGTGTACAGGAGCCAGAGAGATGGCTTAGCATTGAAGAGCAATTGCTGCTCTTGCAGAGGATCTAGGTTCGGTTCTCAGCACTGCATGGCAGTTCACGGCCATTTGTATGTAACTCCAGTGCCAGAGCTCCGATTCCCTAGGCACCAAGCACAGTTGTGCTATGCATACACACGGATGTTTTACATAGGTAAAACACACAAACAAACAAAAACAAATCAATCTTTAAAAAGTCTATGTACAATACTTATCCACAGAGGAGAAACATGAAATATGAAAAACAACAGGGGGTGTAGGATGCTAAGCAGGTAAGATGCCGGCTGTTAAGCCTGAATTTGACCCCTAAGATCCACTTGGTGGAAGGAAAGAACCCACCCCTAAAAGTTATCCTCTGACCACAGGCACACTGTGACATGAATACAAACACAGATACTAAATCAATAAATGGAAAAAATAAAATAAAGTATTATAGCTTTTCAAGACAAGGTTTCTCTATGGTGCCCTGGACATCCTGGACCTTGCTCTGTAGATCAGGTTGGTTCAGAGATCCATTCACCCAAGAGGAAGGATTAAAGGTATGTACCACAGTACCTAGCTTAAATGAGATTTTTTTAAAGGAAAAAAAATGTACTAAAAGGGGCAGGGTGTTGAAGAAAAATTTTTGGTAATCCAATGATGCAAAAATGACCTCTGTTAATATGTCCATGGCTTCTACTAGGCTTTTTGTTGTTTGTTTGTTTTTTGTTTTTTTTGAAACAAGGTATTGCTGTAGCTTTGGAGCCTGCCCTGGAACTAACTCTTGTAGACCAGGCTGGCCTTGAACTCACAGATTCTCCTGCGTCTGCCTCCCAAGTGCTGGGATTAAAGGTGTGTGCCACCATTGTCTGGCTCTGCCTTTTGTTTTTAAGTATAGAAAGAAATCTGCTCATATAAATGTAGATTTAAAGTGGAATTATCTGTGTGCGTGCGTGCGTGCATGCGTGCATGTGTGTATGCGTGCTGTCTCTCTCTGTATTCCTGTATGGTCTAGAGTTCCCTATGTGGACCAGGCTGTATTTGAACTCATGAGGTTCTGCCTGCCTCTGCCTTCCATATGCTAGGACCATGTATCCTTTTAAGAGACTACTTTGTTGCTTGTAATATAAATCTTCCCATGAAACAGTTAGTAACATGTTAGTGTGTGATTAAGACAGGCAAAGGTCAGACATATTTAACAGTCTGTTCTCTATTGTATAGGTCAGCTATATTGTTATACTGCTTCAAGGAAAAATTCTTTTAAAAAATCTATTATTTATGTATACATGTTGTGCACGTACATGTACCATAGCACAGGTCTGAAGGTCAGAGGATAACCTGAGGGAGTTAGTTCTTTCCTTCCACCTTGCGGGGTCTTGGGGATTGAACTCAGGATGTCAGACTCGGACAAGAGCCATCTCATCAGCCCTCAAGCAGTTTCAATGAACGGCTGCATTTACACTTCTAACATTCTATTATTTCTTGAGGATAAACTTCTCTCTCTCTCTCTCTCTCCCTCCCTCCCTCCCTCCCTCCCTCCCTCCCTCCCTCCCTGCTTCCCTGCCTCCCTTCTTTCTTATTTATTTTTGAGACAGTTTCACTCTGCATCCCAGGCTGGTCTGGAATATTAAATAGTGAGATTCTCTGGTCAAAAGGCATGTTCATATTTAGCATTTTTATGTATTGACAAATTGTTTTCCAGAAAGTTGTACCAATTTACCCCCCCCCCCAAAAGCACACAAAAACAGTTTCACCAACATGGAGCACACTCATTCTTCTCACTCTGTCAGTTTGACTTGACTTTTCAAGTTTTTCAAAATTTACATTTCATTAATTGCTAACTAAGTTAAACATTTTTATATCTCTGTTTTTCCTAACACAACTGGGGGGTCATGGAGATGCAATGGGGATCAACCTTAGGGTCTTGTGTATATTAAAAGCGATCTCTGAACTATACAGGCTGGCTCTTGTACTTTCTTTTTTTTTGAGTTGAGTGTTTATATCCCTGATATTCTATGTATTTGAAAAAAGTACAAATTAATTAAAAATTAATAAAAAGATTAATATAGACAAATATATAGACAATATCAACTCTATGCTAAAATGTGATATATATCAACACATATATAATATATATGATATACACGTATATAATATATATGATGCACACACAATATATATTTATTTATAAGCTATTATTTACAGTTTAAGGTTTACTTGCATTTTTTCTTTTTTCTTTCTTTTTTTTTTGAGTTAGGATCTTACTACAGAGTCTACACTGGTTTCTAACTTGCCAACGTCTTTCCTAGGCCTCCTGCTTGGGTTACAGGTGTTTACTATCACACCTACCACATATGGTGTTTTTAAGATATAATTATTTCACAGTATATGAACTTGGAAGGGTTTCCCCATAGTTAGAAGATCCATCTTTCCCTTTACGTTTTTTTCCTTCAGTGCTTTTCCTACCAAACAACTTTTCATCTTCTTCAAGAAGATAGCAAGGCTGCCAGAAATGTGGGTCTTGAGCCTTCTTTGCAGCTGGGTGTGGTCAGGTGAGTAGTGAGGACCAGCAAGTAGCAGCAAGTGCAAAGCTGCTGTGCACTGAGGCGAGCTCCTGCACACTGGGGCCACTCCCTTCTGCCTCCTCTCTATTCTGCTGCCTACAAAGAAACAGCTAGAGCTCTGGCAGCCTTTGGACCATTTCCATGTGAGGACAAACGTCAGCTTTGGCAGAGGGAAAGAGAGAGGAGCCTGGAGACTGACTGACGTCACCACCCTGAGCTATCATGTGAGAGGGCAAATGAGCCACAGTAGTCAGGCCTGCAGGCAGACTGCCTCTGAGGAGCAATTCCTAATTCAAATGCTAAATCGAGCTGATACCCATGTTTACTGGTATTTTCTTCTAGCTGTGTTCATCACATGTTCTTAAAATATAATCAAGATTTAATGTTGCATCTAAAACATTAATGTTTTGGGACTGGAGAGATGACTCAGCCATTAATAGCATTGGCTGATCTTCCAATGGACCCATGATAGGTTCCCAACACCCACATGGAGGCTCACAACCATTTGTAACTCCAGTTCCAGGGGATCTGATGCCCTTTCCAGCCTCCATACGCACTGCATACAAATGGTATACAGACATCCATGCAGGCAAAAGACATATACACACAAAATAATACATCTTAAAATAATATAATCTTTTGGCACAAATTTCTTCAAACTGATGATTGCTGAACATATGTGATGTGGGAGTGTCATATATCAATCTGTTGATTTCATTGGTTAAGCAATAAAGAAACTCCTTGGCCCTGATAGGTTAAAACATAGGTGGGAGGAGTAAACAGAATAGGATGCTGGGAGGAAGAGGAAGTGAGCTCAGACTTGACAGCTCTGCTCTCTGGAGCAGAGACTCCAGGCTCCGCTCTCCCAGGCAGCTCCGACCCAGGATGGACGTAGGCTAGAATCTTCCTGGTAAGCGCACCTTGGGGTGCTTACACACATTACTAGAAATGGGGTAGTCCAGGTGCGAGAGTTAGCCGAGAAGAGGCTAGATAGAAATGGGCCAAGCAGTGTTTAAATGAATACAGTTTGTGTGTTGTCATTTCGGGCATAAGCTAGCAGGCAGCCAGGGTGCTGGGGACGCAGCCCCACCGCTCTCATTACAACACACATGTATATATAACAATATGACACTAAGTTATAAGAGAGGGTCCAAATACAGTGTTTTTTCCTGTTTAGACTTTTTTTTTCCTTTTTTACAGTGCAGACTTTGAGACATAGCATAAGATCCCTTTCTTAGCTAATAATGGTCTTTTCATTGAGGAAGTAATTATAGAAGATATGATTATAAATGTGAGACTCTACAACTAGTTGATATTTTTGAAGACAACTAGATACATATTTAAATGTATATAATAAAGAACAAAACTTTATCACAATTTCACTAAGATCACAATTTCATTTTAATACTCAGTTTTTAAATATAAGTCTATTTTTTGGTCCAGAATTTAGCTATATATATATATATATATATATATATATATATATATTTGAATTTGTAAAAACTAGTCTAATTGGAAAATATTACTCTAATATAATGTTACTAATACATATGTAAGATTGTAATCTTACAGTGGTTTGCAAGACAGTAAGTATAATCTCCATCTTATGAAGAAATTGAAGCTCAGAGGGTTAATTATAATTCATTTGCTCAAGGACATTGCCAAGGTAACAGGAAAAGACAGCTGTTGACTCCAAACTCTAAACTCTTGGCTGCTCATACCACACTCTGGCCTGTACCTGCAGGAAAGAGAAGGTGAGGGAGAGAGCTTCCCACAGGCAGTGTTAAGGTGACTAGGTACCTACCAGTGCCACACAGATCCACTAGGTTAATACGAGTGGGAGTAGAAGAGCCTTTTGAACTGGCTGCAGACACAGATGCAGTCCAAGCCCCAATTCTGGGAATGACCCCAGTCCAGGAGGTGTGTGCTGTAATGTTCTGCAGTGTAATTTTTCTTGTTACCTCCTGTAAGGTCACCTGGTACTGGAGGATTTTCCCCCTTGCCTCTGAGGAACTCAGATTCTGCAAGAGAACATAGGTAAGTAGCCTTACTCTCAGACAAGATCAGGGATGCTCTTTGTGCCAGAACCACCCGACACGGATGCAGGCGACTGCCTCTAAGTGCTTTATTTATTTATATCTTCTCATCTCCACTGTACACTTTCATTCAGTGATTCACAATCTCACACCTTCTATTTAGTAAAAAAAAATGGTTAACATTTTCAAACGATAATTCTTTAAAACACACTGATTTTTCTTTCTTCAAAATGAAGCTTACTGATGGTAAATACCTCATAGGAAAGCTGTGAAGTCTGACTGTAGCAGCACCAGCTCTGAGCTGCAAATTTACCGACACTCAGATCTTGGGGCAAGCACTCAGTTCCTCTGGATTTTTGTTTTAAAATTTGTGAAACATGCTCATAGGGAGACACACAGAGACATACTCAAAGAGATGCTCAGAGGGACACACTCATGGACAGACACAGAAAGACACTCAGAGAAAGCCAGGCATGGGTGGGGAGTGGTTGGGAGAGGGTTCATTTTTGTTCGTTCGTTTTTTCAGACAGGGTTTCTCTATGTAGCCTTGGTTGTCCCAGAACTCTATAGACTAGGCTGTCCTCAGACTCACCTGCCTTTGCCTCCCAAATGCTGGGATTAAAGGTGTGTTCCACCGCCTCCTGGTGAGGATGTCTTTTTAAATATAGAAAGTGCAAGACTGCTTGAAACATCAAAACCACCACATTCAGGAGCTAAAGCAGTAAAATGACCCTTAGGAACTTGAATTAGCACTCTGTGCTAGGAACCTAGCTCCAAACTGCAAAATTCTGATTGCGATCATTTGGGAACAAAGCCACACAGTAAGCAGAAACTGTTATTTTTCTCTTGTTTTGTACAATGGCCATTACAAATGGAAACACAGACCTGAAGAGCTGTGGAGTCTAACCCTGGCAATGCCCATCCCTGCCTACTGCAGGAAGAAGGCTTGGCTAACAGACTTAAGAGGCATAGTTTTCTGGGCACAGCTGTCCATTCATGGCAGGAGACCATTTACTGGAAGACACACCTGAGGACCAGCAAATGCCCTGCTTACCAAGAGGCTGCATAATTTGATTTTCTATGCAGTTTATCTGTCAGAAGTGTTTGGGCATGAACAGCTGGTGCACTTCAGTTCTTTCACTTTAAGTGAATAAATTGCCATCCTGATTGCAATTTGGATTCTAAGACATTTAGTACTGGAGAGAGAATGTTCTGATTTGCTGAGTCAAGTCTTCTGATTGGCCCACTAGCTACATTTTTACTGTAATTAATCAAAACTCAGCTCTGTATATTGCCATTTCTGGAGCTTAGTTAATGCAAGTCTATTGGGGGAAACTTTTGGTCCATACATCCTAAATTAGATCTTAGCCTGGTCCAGTGTACTGGGTGAAAACAGCGCTGATGGGGAGGCTTTGGAGAATCTTCAGCATTTCCCTGAAGTTATCATTCAGGTGTTCATTACATCCATCACAGTCAATTTCATTGCCTGTTGTGAGGATTACATAAGCATTTGCTTGCTTTTAATTACGTTCCCCAGGTTTTTTTTTTTGTGTGTGTGTGTGTGTGTGTGTGTGTGTGTGTATTTTGGACAGGATCTCACAGTGATGCCCTAGCTGTCTTAGAACTGACTGCATAAACCAGACTGACCCTCAAACTTTTGTTAGTGCTCCTGTCTCTGGGGTTATAGGTGTGTGCCACCACAACCAGCTATGCAAATGTTTTTTAAAGTCTAATGTTCTAACAAACATCATATTAATAAATCTGACCTTCATCAGAGGAGAAAAACAACATAGATGAAATAAATGTGTGTTGGGGAAGTCATCCTCTGGCAGGAATGGAGCTGTGTGAGCAGTTAACTTCTGAGCAATGACTTGGTGGAGAGAGCTTGGGACCAGTGTGTGATAGATACACTTATCTCTGAACATATAGGGCTGGCAGGAAAGGATGCAGTGAGAGATAGCTGAGGGGATGCATTTCTGTAACCGACACTTGCTTTCATCTGTAGTGTTTTTCTCCCTCTGCTGTGGTGTGTTGTTCCCTCATGACACAAAATAAGTAAATGTAAATGAGACAGGGAGGAGGTTCAGGCTGCTGCAATTTACAGCTCTTCTCCAGCTATGGCATTATGATGCGTTCTCACACACAGCGTCAACAGAAGGCATGCATTTAGCAATTTGAGAAGGGTGGGGACAGGCGTTTTTCTTCAAGAGCCAGAAGGCTCTGAGTCACGGGAGACAAGCCGTGAACTCTGAAGATAGCCATCCTGACGGACTGACTGGCTCTGCAGATAAACATATTCGTACTCCAGTGCTACTCATTTGAGAAGGTGATAAGGGAGAAAATAACATTTTGTTAATCACGAGCTTGACATTCCTTGTTATGTTTAGATCTTGTTTCCCTTTCTGAGGTGTGAGCCTGGCTTAGAGCAGCTGAGCAACCAGCTCTAGCCATACCTAGAGAGTCTATGGAACGCCCCCTGGTGGATGTCAGGAAGGGGCGTTTTCTGGAGTGTGCAGTTGCCAATCCTGGTAGGGTTTCTGACACCTGGATCCCTTCTAGTAGAACTGAGTACAAATAATAAAAAGAAGAAACCTAATCACAGAAAGGGAAGGCCATTAGAGTTTTGCTCATGTCAAAGAAGAGCAGCAGAAATCAAGACCCCCTTGACAGCTCAGGCATAGGGCACATTAGCCACAGCTCTCCTTTCCTTTTGTGTTAGCTTTGGATCCTTACTAATTTTGTGCATGGGTGACGCTGGGGATTGAATACAGGCCCTGTGCATGCTAGTACATGCTCTTCATGCTGAACTGTATCCCCACCCTCAAACTGCAGTAGGAAGCATCTTTGATTTTCTCACGTCTCTGTGTAACGTCTATTACACACAGTTATTTTATCGCTCTGAGACATAATATCCCTATTTTGAAAATAAGGATAGTCAAAATCTTGACTTGTCTTTTAGCTGCCTATGAAATTTCTACTAATGCCACAAATGGTCATAAAGTCCATATAATTTGTGAGTTAACAGAATACGGGGCTGGCAGGATGGCCCAGTGGGTAAAGGCATTTGCTGACAAGCCTGATCACTTGAGTTCAATTTTTGAAACACACATGATGGAAGGAGAGAATAGACATCAATTCTATTAATGTCACATGCACATGACCCAAATAAATAAGTGTAAAACAACAACACCCCCCCTCATACACAAACTGAGTACTTTCATTTTGGAATTCGTGATTTACAATCAGCAACCCCAGTCCTAAGTGTAGAAATAACAGGAAGGGTTCGTTGTTGTCTGTTTGCTTTCCTGAGATGAGGTCTCTCCATGTTGCCTAGACTAGCCTTAAGTTCCTAGGCTTAATGATTCCCCTACTTCAGCCTCTTTAGTAGTTGGGACTACAGGCACATACCAGCTGTGTTCTAATTTGGATTTCAAGATTTAAGCACCACTCCACTGAAACCTTCCAGGTTTGTGTTCTCCCAGCCCCTGCAGACTATCAGCTCACCTTTGTGTCCTTATGGGCTTGCACAATGCTTGCCTCATAACAGGAATGTGATCCTGACTTTCATAATTACCTCGTGAATCTTTATGGTAGCCTCATGTGTTATACATTAGTATTATCTTAAGTTTACTCATGAGGAAAGTGTGTACGGGAGGTTAAAAACACCTTGCTAAAGAACACATACGGCGACAACAGAGCCGCACAAAGAGTACTGCTTGCTCATGAGGCCAGAGGTTAGCACTCCTGCCAGCCCTGACATGCCCCTCAACTGTCACAGAACAGAGTGGAGAACTTAGTTCATTAGGCCAGCAGCAAGCACCCTTGTTCCCAGAACCCTAATTCCCAGCCATGCAAAACCATCTAGAGAACCTATCTGCTTGTCTGGCCAATGTTACTTATGACCCTAAATTTGACCACCTTCCCAGACACCACATGGAGATCTTGCTTGCTTGTCAGATTAGAGGCTCCAGCACTTCGTCCTCAGATGCCAATAGAAGCAGATGTATACTATGGGAGAAAATGAAGGAGAAGAATGCTGTGCTGAAGGGATAGCAAACATAGAAACTTTAAAAGCCAGAAGCAAGAGCCAGGCAACATGGTACATGCCATTAATTTCAGCACTTGGGAGGCAGAGAATGGAGGATCTGAGTTTTAGGTAGCCTGGTCTACAGAGTGAGTTCCAGAACAGCCAGGGTTAAACAGATAAAGTCTGTCATGAAACAAAACAAAACAAAAACAACAACAAAAAGCCTAAAACACTTAGAAAGCCATATTTCAAATTATATCAGACCACAGATGGTAACCCAAGACTACCTATACTTGATAAAGCTATCAGCTATAATTGAAGAAAAAAAGAAAAATTTCCCATGAAAATAAAGCAGGCTAAAGGGCTAAAGGAATTTATGAGCATTAAGCCAGCTCAATAGAGGATGCTGGAAAAAATATTATGGACAGAAGAGAAAGAAGCACCGTCAGTCAAGAGGCTTGGGGGGCAGAATAAATGAAGCTAAAACAGTTGATATATATATATAATGAAAACACTAAGGACTGCACAACTAACAAATGACAAGAATTAATTTACACCATTCAATAATCCCAAATATTAATGGTTTTGGTTCCTCAATCAAAAGACATAGACTAGAAGATTTGACTAGAAAACAGGAATACTCTTTTTACTGCTTCAAGGAATCACACTTAACATCAAAGACAGGTGAGAGAATGGAAAAAGGTATCCAAACAAATGGAACCAAGAAACAAACAGGTCTTGATATTGTGATACTTGACAAAACAGACTTCAAACCAAACCTAGTCAGACGAGATCAAAATCACTTCATACTAAATTAGGGGACAATCCATCAAGGGACATTAATAGTTATAAGTATTTGAGTACTGAACAGAGGTTCACTCAGTTTCACAAAACAAATATTACTAGATGCAAAGGTACATACAAACCACAACACAACATAGCAAGTGACTTCACTGTC